TTTCCTCTGTCAATGTCTTGTGGATAAGTAAAACTTCTGGTCTCAAGGACAGATGCTCTTGAATTGACATATACAGAATTCGTTTCTAGTCCTAGAGATGAGATACATTCTCAATCTCTGGGTCCTCTTGTCGATTAGGAGCAGACTGCGAAGGAGAAGTATGTGTGTGAGGAAACAACCAGTGTGCTTCCCTGTCCGCTTACCTGTCCATGCACTCTTTGACCACGGCAAAATTGCCATCACCGATGACCTTCCCGATTCTGTACTTCTCTAGAAGAGTGGAGGATTCGGAGCACCTGTTTCCGTTCACACCTGCAAAAAGAACAAATGCAAAATCGAATGACGACATCAACATTTTACCTTGATTCCGAAGTCCCTGATTTTTTTCTAAAGTTACAGTGAAACAAAGGAAAACCTCCAACACGAGTTGTATGTCAATAAAATGCTTAAAGGGAAAAAAATGATCTGAATAGAAAAATTACCAATCTTTATCACCAAACTCTATCAACAAATGCGCTCTATCAACAAACCCACCAAAGAGCTGAAACATTACTGAAATGACGGATCAGATTTGGGCAGAAGAGAGTCTGTTAGGGGAAGGGTGGTAGTGGGAATTTTAATCTTAAGGAGATGATTTTCTTCCCAAGATTTTCGAGTATAGAAAACACCATTGGATTTAGATAATTGGTTCATTTCTGTCTCAGAACCTTCTCAAAAAGAGGTGATCAAGACTGAGGACTTTTCACACGGTATCCCCAAAGCAGGCACCTAGGAAATACATCTTTGTTCTCTACTTCAAAGAAAAACTCTATCTTGAGAATATGAGATTGACACTAAACAGAAAAAAGGAAGCCTGTGATGGAAAATTTTGTGTTGCCATGGTTAGGGCATGGTGTTTGATCAAGTGTTTGGGCAGATGCTGCTTTGAAGATACGTAGATGCTATTAGTAACAGTGAACTTTCAATAAAGCAGATTACTCTGCATGGTGTGGGTGAGCCTCACTCAATTAGTTGAAAGTCTTACAGAGAAAAAATGGAGTTTTGTTTTGCTTTTGTTCTACACACTTATGAGGAAGCATTGAAAAGTTTTTAGCAAAAGGAAATCAAAGGGCTAATGATTTTTTTGTTCATGAACTTCGTAAAGCTCCCTTATACATCTCCTATTTTTCCTGTTTCTCTGAAGAATCCTGACTGATACAAAGCCCAAGTCTGAAATTTGAAATAATGAGAGTATAATTAATGACAATTAGATTTTATATGAGTACATCCTAGAAGTGACCATCCCCGACAAACCCAATAGGTTAACAGGTTAGGCACACATCTCTGCTTAGGAAGATGATAGATTAATGCATGTAGGTTTGGGTGGCTACCAGAGTCACATGGATAATTTCCTTCCTAAAAGAAATCACCAGATTGAAGACTACCTTCGGGACTCATGCAACGATCAAGTTCAGGTCCACCGTTGACATTAGAAGAAGATCCGCTGTGTGCAGAAATCTGCTGAAGGAGGAAAGTGACCATTATTTGTCAGGATACATTCACAAATCTTTAGCTAGTAATCCTTACCATATACCAGATGTGTATGATGATGCAGAAACAGAAGGCATGTTCCCCTTCTCATCGTACCTCACGGGAATTCCTTTCTTCCTTAGAGACACTATGTTCCATTCAGATTCCCAACAAAACAAGAACCAAACTCACTGTAACTGAGTCAATGCCAACTCAGAGTGACCCCACAGGACAGGCTAGAACTGCCCCTGTGAGTTTCTGAGACGGTGACTCTTCACTGGAGGAGAAAGCCCGGTCTTCCTCCCACGGAACGCTGGTGGTTTGAATTGCTGACCCAACAGGTCCACCACCTGGGTCCCAGCCCATTCATATCAAATACCTCAAAAAAGTCATCACCGTGCTGCTTTGGACTCAATGAAATGAAGCAGAAGCGACGTTTGTGACAACAGAGAGGAACATGGTGTCTAATTCATGACAAAACTAGGCTCACTTGGCCAGGGCAAGGCAACACCTAGAACAGCAGGCAGATCCTAGTCCTGAAGGTGGGTCTCTGTCACGGGGACCCCGATGCCATCGCTGAAGCTGAACGTATGACGGAGTCTTTGACGAGTCCCATCTGCCCCAGTGGCTGAGCCTCCTAACTCAGGATAGCATCACTTCCACGCCCCACTTTGGGTCCACACCCTGGCTCAGCGCTCTTCTTTATGGACTCTAAACCAGCAGAATCCCTCTGACACAATGCAGGGTGTTCACTACAAGGAAGATGAAGCGAAGGGGGGAAGTGCAACTCGGCCAAGCCTAAGTTCCCAATCTCACACAGAAATACTTGTAGTCCTTAGGTGAATTGAAACATTTATGTTAGTTATACAAAGTTTGTGATTCCATAGGTTCAGGTTTAATTTGGTCTTAATCCCCCGGGGATTACTG